TTTTTTTTTTTTTTTTTTTGAGACGGGGTCTCACTGTGTAACCCGGGTTGGTCTTGAACTCATAGCCATCCTCGTGCCTTAGCCTCCCAAGTGCTGAGGTTACAGGTGTGTGCCACAGTGCCTGGCTGGCTCCCCATTTCTACACATGAAACCTGATTTTATGTACTACAGGGTAGCCAGAGTAATTTTTTTTTTGTAGTACTGTAGATTGAACCCATGGCCTTTGCACTGAGCTACATTCCCAGCCTGTTTTTAAAAATCTTGTTTGTTTGTTTTTTGTCTTTCTAAGACAGAGTCTCACTCTGCAGTTCAGGCTGGCCTTGAGCTCACTTTGTAGTCCAGGCTGGCCTCAAACTCGCAGAGATCCTCCTGCTTCAGCCTCCCAAGTGCTGAGATTACAGGCATGTACCACCACACCTGGCAAAAATCTTTTACTTTTTTTTTTTTTCTGGTACCGGGAATCGAATTCATGACCTCGCGCTTGTCAGGCAGGCACTGTGCCGCCGAGTTAAATCCCCAGCCCCTAAAATCTTTGAAGTTTGAAACAGGGTCTTACTCGATTGGTAAATGGCCCAGGCTGGTCTCAAACTTGTAATCCTTTTTCCTCAGCTTTGCACAGTGCTGGCTTATAGCATATGGCCACCATGCCTGGCAGTTCATGTCACGTCCTTTCTCATGGCCGTCTGTTGACTTCCTTCTGTCTGCAAAATGGAATCTCAACCCCACACGCAGCCTTACTAAGTCTGATTTCTTCTTTCCCCCTGTATGCAGTACTCCATAGTCCCACTGGCTTTCTGTTCCCAAAGCATGTTGTTCTTGAGTCTTCAGCCCTGTTGCCCTCTGCCTAGACTAGTCTTGCACCAGCATGTTTGACTCATTACTATCGCTCAGATCTCCCCTCAGATAATCACCTTCTCAGAGAGGACTTTCCAGAACACTTTTCCAAAATATTTTCCTTCCCAGTCACTCACTGTGTTGCTACTCTGTTCTTATTTTCTTTGTTTAGCGTGTGTCATATTCTGTCTTCTGCTGTTATAACTGAATACCACAAGGTGGGTAATTTAGAAAATACAGAGGTTTACTTAGTTCAGCATTTTAGAGGCTGGGAAGTCTGAGACCATGGCGCCAGCATATTGTGAGTTTCTTCCTGCACATAGTGTGGTAGAGGACAGCGCATGGTGACACAGAGAAAGCGCCGCGGCAGCCACACTGTCCGTAGCCCATTAATCCACTCACGAAGAGAACACCTTCATGGCCCCCTGACCTCCCAAAGGTCCCACTTCCGTATACCAGTAACATGAGCAAGACAAAAGTATAAATGACAACAAATATCATGTACCATTAACATATGACTTTGGGGATTAAGTTTCCATTATAGGAATTCTGGAGGACACACTCAAACTACAGCAGTTTATTTGTATAGAATACCAGGCATAGTCTAATAAGGGAGCTTTCTGCTTCATTCACTGTTATGTCTTATATCTGGAAAGTACCTGCAAAACATTTGCTGAATACAGGAGCACTTTTATACAAATATTTAGAATGAGAAAGCTTTTCCAAAGTTAGTTCTGGGCAGTGCAAGGTCCTGAGTTCGATTTCCAGTACCAAAACAACAACAAAAACAAAACAACCTCCAAACCCCCACAAAGTTCAGAGTAGTAGTTATTACTTTGCTCATGTATAATGAATACTTTGGATCTGAGGGAAGGGGGAAAAAATCCCACCTTCCAATATAAATATGTAATATCCACTTTTTTTTTTTTTTTTTTTTTTTTTTTTT